TTCATTTTTTAAATTTACTTACCAGAATTTTAATTGTAAATTAAATCTTTTGAAAATGTAGTAAGAGTACGAAACATGTCAAGAATTAAAAAAAATAAGTTTTCTATTAAAATTTTCACAAATTTATTGCTAATGCGATGTTTGAAAAAGTCGATGTAGCAATATTTACGCATGTTTTAAAAATGTTTTTTAGTAAAACAAAAACAAAAACACTACTATTTAAAAAAAACGTTCTAGTCGTTATTATTGCGGTTTTTTATAAGTTTTTTAAAAAACAATAAAATTTAATGTACTTCCGCATTAATTCAATTGCTTCGACATTTCGACGACAATAAAATACAGCTTAAGAGACGAGGTAATTAAATTTGTAGTCGAAAGAGACTTTTTTTACATTAAAAGACTCTTTCGACTATATATATATATATATATATATATATATATATATATATATATATATATATATATATATATATATATATATATATATATATATATATATATATATATATATATATATATATATATATATATATATATATATATATATATATATATATATATATATATATATATATATATATATATATATATATATATAATATATATATATATATATATATATATATATATATATATATATATATATATATATATATATATATATATATATATATATATATATATATATATATATATATATATATATATATATATATATATATATATATATATATATATATATATATTATATATATATATATATATATATATATATATATATATATATATATATATATATATATATATATATATATATATATATTATTTATTAATCAAAAAAAAATTTAAGACACAACAACCCTTGTGCATTTTATAGACTTTTATGTTTTTACAAAAGTTTGTTTTTCCTCAACTAAATTAGTAGATGTTCGCCGCAAAGATTATGACGTATTTCCGACTGTGAGAATAGTTAGGACAGACATTTCTGATGTTTTTTCTTAATTTTCATCTTGAATGGCGATTCCCAAAACATCAACCTTATCTAGTGACAGATCCAGGGGGGACTAAAAGTGATGCAATCCCCCTCCCCCGTCAGAAAATAAATACTGAAACAATCGAAATATTGAAATTATTAAAATAATCTGCGTTTTTGATCTTAAATAATTTAAGATCAAGAGCGAACAAGAGCATTATATGTAAGAATTTAAATGCGGTTCTAGATTGAGATTTTCATGAGCAAAGAATGACCGCTGAAGAAACCTAGGTTTTTCATTACGAGTTTTTCGATTAAAAATTGTTTTAATGATTCTCTTCGTACTTCTGTAGCTTTACCCGTATTTGACGTTAACCAGTATTTATATAAACCTTTTAAACCAAACGATGTTCTTTCGCAATCTCTTACTTGTACATCTCTTCAAACGATGTTAACAGAAAACGATAACGAGGCATACAAAGATAATTCTCACCCAGCCAGTAATGATATTGCTTGTGTTTCTTCGGATGACGTAAGAAATATTGAATATGTGAAAAAATTCAATGATTTAGAAAAAAAGAAATTGTTGAGTGAACATTGGATTCCGAATTCTTCTTTCAAATATTGATATACAATGAAGGGTGGGATGAACCCACAGAAGGTTTACCTGGGTCTCCAACACTTATCAGGTGGAAGTTATTTATTTTCTCCATCTTTAAATGGACTTCTTTGTGTCACTTGTGATTTACTTGCCAATGAAGTAGTGAAAATAATCATAGCAAGGCTTCAAAACTGGCACAATACGTTAACAAACCGCAAAAAAAAATACAGTCATTTGACAGGAAGCGATGGACATTTGACTAACAATTTAAACAACCAATATCACAAAAATTCTATTGTGCTTGATAATCATTTTTTATTATCAATTAATTCAGGTACAAATATAAAAATTATGCTTAATGAAAAGTATAAAGCGAAAGTAAAAGAATCACGCAAACGTTTGATGCAGATTATTAAAACTGTTAAGCTTTGCGGTAGACTTGGGATTGCATATCGAGGCAGAAAGAATGACGGCGATGTCAGCCTTTAAATAAATGATGGACTTATAAAGACAGATGGAAACTTCAAAGCACTGTTAGCTTACTGGGTCGATGCTGGAGATAAAGTTTTAGAACATCATTTAAAAAGTTCAGGAAAAAATGCAACATATATTTCAAAACTGGTTTAAAATGAACTAATAGACCTTTGTTGTCAATTAGTTCATTTTGAACCGTTTTTTTTGGAACTTTTTGGCCTCTTTAACTATTTTTTCTGTTGTAAACAGAAGAAATAAATTGCTAAGTACTTTTCAGTGATTGCAGATGAAACAACTGATGTTTCTCATCACGAGCAGTTATGTGTATGTATTCGTTTTGTGTGTTTGATAACTGGTTTTCATACAATCAGAGATGAATTTTTAAACTTTAAGTAAGCCAATAATCTTATAGGTAAAGGGTTAGGTTAAATAATTATTCAAATTCTGAAAGGACATAGTCTTGAGCTTTCTTACTTAGTGGGTCAAGGTTATGTTGGCGCATCAGCTATGTCTGGCTTTTATAATGGTGTGCACGAGCACGTAAGACAAGTGGCTCCATCCGCAGTCTTTGTACATTGTAGTAGCCACGTCGTAAACTCAGTTTTAAATTCTACTTGTTCTGTACCAGAAATAAGAGATTTATTTAGTACAGTTAATAAATGAACAAATTTTATAAACGACTCTGTTAAAAAAAAGGAAATATCTAAAAAGTTTTTGCAAGAATCGGAACGTTCTGTTTCATGCTTAAAAAGTTTAAGTGAAACACCTTTTATTGAGATCCATGATTGCTTACTTATTTTCTATCAAAATTTCATTAATATTGTAAAATGTTTAGAGGGAATTAATAATAAACTTGAGAGTAAAACTGCAGACACTGCAAGAAGTCTTTTAAAGTGCCTGAATGATCCGGTTGTTATTGTAGCTTTTTGTTGCGCCTAAAAAGGTATGGCATTAACAGTAACATTGTTGAAATTATTGCAAACAGTCAATAACGATCTTATTGGTGCATTAAATGCCATAAACTTTATGAAAAATTGGCTTTTAACATGGCGTTGTAATAAGAATGAAATATGGATGAATGCTGATTTTGACCCATTCAACAACGCTAATTATTTGCTTTATATATATATATATATATATATATGTACACATATATA